ATAATTATATATTTATATATATAATTATATATTATATGTTATAATATTATTATTATTATGAGAGTTGTAAAACAATATATGTTTTATCATTCTTCTAATTCTATTCTAATATTTAATATTATTTTAATTATTCAGAATTTTACTGAATTTATAAAAGAAAACACTATTTTTATTATACATTATTCCAATATCCTATAAGGATAATTGTTTTAAATTTGTAATTTAAAATATATTTAAACTTAATAAATTACAATGAATTTTTAAATAGCTATTAAATTGAACATTTTGGAAAAAATTATGAAAAATTAGAGATATTTCCTTTGATTTTTAAAATTTGTATAATTTTGTACTTGTATTGTAATTGTAATTGTATACATTTTGTACTAAGCTTTTTTTATAGATAATTTGAAGATTTTGATAATTATAACATTTTACCACAGTTTATTTTACACAATACAATATTATTTTGATTTTGAGCTATATGTACATATAATAACATTTTTCCAGATTTTTAAAAATACTTTAAAATAATTTAAAAATTATTTATTTAAGAATTGCTAAATACTATTTTCTTTATAATTTTTAGATTGTGAAAGTAACATTTTGCATTAAATATAATTATTTATTGTGACGAATGTATCCATATCGATATGTAACGTCAATCGTTTCTATTATAATTTGATGTGAATTTATTTTATATTAGATAATAATAATAGATTTTTCATAATCTTATAATAGTTCCTTAAAACTGATAAATTATGAAATTATTATAAATTAACTAAATACATATGCAACAATATCTATAGTAACGATATCTGGCTTCAAAAAAAATTATAATTATATTTATATATGTATTTATTGAACTTGATAAGATAATAAATGAGAAAAAATTAATATGAATATTATTGTCCCACTACTTGATAGTCTTCCCTCGCGTCATACGGACTCAATCCAACGGTAGCCTTGGCTATATAAAGCCGACTGAGCATTAAGTTGAAATATTAAAGAAAATGTGTTGAATATTATAGTTCAATCATTGATATAATTCGATATAATTTTTTCATAGAGAAAAAAATATTTGTTATACCTAATATAATATATTTATAAATACATGCATATATATATATATATATATATATACTGATGTACATATAAAAATGTTTTATATTTTATCAAAATATATCAATTTACTGTTGTGTGAACGAAATACACAAAAAATGTTTAATTTTATAAATATTAGAAAAAATTCATTATTGAAATGCCAAGAATCAAGAATAGGATATTCTTGTTATAAAATAAATACGTCTCCTTTAAAATATCATACGTAAGTAAAAATGTTTTTACTATAATTTTTTTTATTTTTTATGTAAATTAAAGGAAAATGTTCAATTTTATTTCTCAAAAAAAAATATGTTTAAATATATAAATATATATAAAATGTTTATTTTTAAATCAACATATTAAGCATTAAATAAATTCACGATTAATTAATATTATATAATACTGTATTTATTTTATTATTTATATTATCATATTATATTATATTATACTATATATTAATCATATTATATTAATTATTGTATATAATTATTTATGTAATTGAATATAAAGAATTATTCCAAAAATATGGAATATCAATTTTATCTCAACTGAAAATCTTTAAATAATTTTTGGCAATATATTTTTTTGCAAATGAACAAGTCTAAATAACATATGTCGAACGAAATATTGATTATAACTATTGAATATATATGTATTGAATATGTATATCGACAAAAGATACATTAAACAATAAATAAATTCATTACGCGTTATAGGATTTATTCATCATTCAAAATATCAAATTCTATAAAAAAAAAAATATAAAATTTTTCTAACGAAGTAATAAGTAATAAACTATATTAAAGAGTGCAATGATTATGTATATACAAATTATACATATATCTCTCAAAATGATTGTGCAATTATATATGTACGAGTTATATCTTTTAATATTTATCGATCAAAACACGATCAATTCTCAATAAATTTTCCAATTTTAAACTAAAGTGTTCCAATTTTAAACTAAAATGTCTCGAAACGTGCAACTCTCTCTTCTCCTTCCCCAAATATTAACGGTATATGAGGATTTGCAACTCTTTGAGTAAAAATATCCCTAAGAATTTTTCGAATTAGATTTAAGACGAATATTGCACAACGAGCACTTATTATTCGCGAGAATATATTCTTGTATAATATAAGATATCGAATCGAAATCATTATCGAAATAAGAAAAATTATATGAAATATTTTAATAATTTTCGATTAGAGATAAAAATCGAAACAATATATTCAAAATTCATTAAAATAAGTAATATAAAATATGTGATAAAAACCATCAGATGTTTTAATCTATAAGATTATCTCTTATTATTTCATTATTCGCAGTAATATGCTTTTCATTTGACAATAAGATTAAGATTTTGAGTGGCAATTAAACAATTAATCATTAACTAAAGGAGTGATTTAAAAATAAATATGTTATTAAAATTCTTTTATCTTAGATCAAACAATATAGAATTTGTCGATTCGTTCAAAAATGAAAGAAACGAATTAATGATTATGTGGCCCAATATTGTTCGTGAATTGACAGAAAATAATGAAGAATTACCGGATGTTAACAAATGGATAACAGAGGTATCTAATTTTTTTCAAAATTTATATACTATCTAATAATTATAATTTCGTGTAAAAAGAATCAAATTTTATTGAAAACTTAAATCTTGTCAAACATAAGTACTAATTTATATATTAATATATATAGTTAGATTATCGTTTCTTTGAACATTATCACAAAAA